TAGCTCTTCCACACCACACTCGCCAAAGTAATCCCTGAGTAGCCCAAAGCAGTTCTTCCATAGCACACTCACCAAAGTGATCCCTGAGTAGTTCAACGCAGCACTTCCACAGCATGTTCACCAAAGAGATCCCGGAGTAGCCCAAAGTAGCTCTTCCACAGCACGTTCCCCACAGTGATCCCTGAGTTTTCAAGCTAGCTTTTCCACAGCACGTTCACCAAGGTGATCTCTGAGTAGCCCAAAGTGGCTCTTTCACAGCACGCTCGCCAAACTGATCCCTGTTCACCAAAGTAATCCCTGAGTAATTCAACGTAGCACTTCCACAGCACATTCACCAAAATGACCTCTGAGTATTCACACCACATTCACCAAACTGATCCCTGAGTAGCTAAACCTAGCTGCCTAGCTCTTCCACAGCACATTCACAAACTGATTTCTAACTAGTTCAACTTAGCTTGTCCACAGCACATTTACCAAAGAGATCGCAGGATAGTTGTAGACTTGTAATGTGATAAGCAGTTTTTTCCCCACCCGTAGGACTGTGGGGCTGTTAGATTTTAAGAACTTTGGACTTCAGTAGACTCGCTACTTCTGCACATCCACCAGAGTGGTCCCAGCGTAGCTCAGAGCAACCCAAAGAACACAGCACACCCACCAGAGTGGCCCACAGTGGCCCAGAGTAGCCCTTACACAGCACATCCACCAGAGTGGCCCCGAGTAGCCCAGCGTAGCCTTTACACCAGCACATTCACCAGAGTGCTCCCAAGTACCAGTTCCACAGCATATCCACCACAAGTTGACTTGGCAGGGATGCGGGGTTGCCAGGCATTAAAAAATCGAAGTTCAGAAACCTCACAAGTAAGTATTCGATGTGTGGTTTTGTTTTCAATAAAGAATCCTTTTCGCGCCGAACCGCTTTTCTCTTGTGAAGACTAATTCTTTGAGGGTGGGGAATTTCGAAGTAAAGTAATTGGGGTTTAAGACTAGGTAGTGATCAAACACTGGATACCAATCCATTCCCTGCTCACCTCCTTGGCTAGCTCCACCGGTGTAGTCGACTCGCCCGCAGTCACCGGTTCCGAAGCCGAAGCAGCACCGTAGGCGAACGCCACCTAAACGTGCGCAGAAATGGAGTGACACATGGGAAACGGAACGCAAGATCAACGTGTCCAAAATGAAACCTCCAACAAAATCACGGAGTGTAGTTTTTCATCAGACGACGATGGAGATGGTGAAGAGCAAGTTCCGAATTCTGAATTCTTGCTTGCTCGTCCACTCGTAGATGTTCTGGGCTTTCTAGGGGTTGTCTCAAGTTACAACCATGACCATCCAAACAGAACGAACTGTGATCTCACGCACTCGACACTGCTCGTAGGAATGAATGGTAGCACCAATTCCAAAGCAAAACATGGCTTTGTGTTGAAATAGGGAGACCCCAATGGGTTCTTGATGTTCTTGTAAGTGTATTTTGGGATCCGGGTGTGAAGTTCAGGTAGAAGCTGGGGACCAGGTTTATAGAGAACACCAGGTTGGAGTAGCTACTTACAAACTACAGAATCCTTCAAACAACATGCCTGGATAAGTTGCCACTCTAAAAATTCTGGTGATGTCCGCCTGGGAGAAGCTTCCTATCAATGTTTTATTTCTTTTATAGTACGATAAAATCTAATCTCAAACCGAGGTGTCCGTACCCTTTCCGTTTGCATCCCTTTGCTGCTCCCTCAAAGATGGAAACACCTCACGGTTTCCCTTTTCTTAATTTCCCAGCTTGACTCCATCAAATCAGGTGAGTACTGGTCAAACGACGAGTGGGTTGGGTGGGAGAAGGATGAGTAGTGGTTCTTCCTTGTGGCCTGGCACACGAAAAAGGGCTCCCCAGTACTCAGGGTATAGGAAGTTCCTAGCTCGGAGCCAGAAAGGACCTCTACAACATCAGGACTTTCCGTTGCTTCCAGATTTCATTTGATTTCTTATACTTTTTCTATTTATTGCGGTTCTTTTTGCCTTATATATAGTATCGTCTTGTCGTCTCGTGCTTTCATCAGGGCCTGACAGCAGTGGTTTTGAACGCAGCAAATCAATTTCAGCAGCTATCCTTCCTCTGTATAGAATCTAATCTAGGTTTCAATTCCACAAGCCACTTCTGCTTTCTATAGAATCTAAATCTAGTCCCTGTCTTTTATAACCGGTATTTATCCTATAAAATGTATCCTTTATAGGATTATAGGATTCATATTCCAGCTCTTTTCATTTTCTGGCAAGTCTCTTTGTATAGGTTCAGTTCCCAGGTTGCAAGGGCAACACTGATTTCCTTATAAATTCCGTTCCCAGGATCCACAAGTCCTTTCTATAAAATCTCTGAACACATCATTGGCCTATTCCCCCAAACATATTTTTGATGATACATTTTTGAGTTTATTTTTATAGTAAACACATGTAATACACACTTTTTCTCTATGGAATCCTTCTGGATTTCTGAACACATCCCCCTGATTTTATAGAGGATATTCCTACGGGGTGGTCCTTAGGGGTCTCCCACATCTCTCCGAAACAATTTCTGGACGTGTGAGAGCGATTAGAAAACACTCACCCACAGAATCAGATGATTCGCATTGATTCTTGAAACGTCATTAAACCTTCCAACGAACATCCATGAACAGCTGAATATGCCTCTCATACTGTGTCTCAAAATCATCGTCTTCCGGAAGAAAAGACACACACCGGGATGTTCTTTTCGTCCCGTTCGTCATGGTCGACGTGCCGTTCTGTGTGCCGGTGAAGGCACCACCGCAAGTTTTTTTCGTTCCCAGCAGTTATATAGTCTCGGTGTCGTGTCTTCCGGTTGAAGGGTCCAGTACTCTGATGTACACTCCCTGGAACTAACACGGAAGTGGATGGCACCCCTTGTTTGTAGAGGAAAATGGTCTTCCAAGGGACCATTTTCCACTTCCATGTTCGCTCCAGGGAGTGTACATGCCCTGCCCCAAAGATAGACATGGTCTTACCAGAAAGGCCCACTTTAAAAGGGATCAAAGGACACCATTTCTTGGATAGAGATTTCAACCCCTTGCGGGCTGTTTGTTTCTACCGATTGTTCTTCAAGAACATGTCTTGCGCAAATGTCACATCACCCAAAGACATTCTTGGATAGATCTGGACAAAAACGGTTTCACCTGTTCACGCACTCATATCACATGTGGTAGACTGATCGAACACCACCTGATTCCAACGACCTTTGATTCAATTCGGCCTGCATTGACCATGATTGATTCTGGTTGCGATCTTGGAGAACACCACATGAACCATCTGAGCTGAAGCTCAGCAGGAAATTAAACTTTCACCAGTGCTCGAGTGTTGCCCAAACACCACTGCGGCCCCACCTGAAAGCGTTGCAGCTGCAGCCCAACGACCCGGCGGCTCTGGCTTTTTGGCAACTGGCCCACGGAAAAGGGCAACAGGAACTCCACTGAGAAGTAGCTAGTCAGAACTGACCAAGTCGAGTTGCCTATAGTACTATCTTATCTCATAATAAAAAAATATACCGGAACCATACCATCCCAAATGTGCGAACCGCCATTCGAGTGTTGATCTGAGAGGTTGTCACCCAGGGACTACAGTGATTACAGCATAGACATGCGCACACACACACAACCAGCACTTACTTTTTGATATGTTTCAACAACAACTTCATCTAGATCTAGAAAACCAACCTGTTGCGAAGCTGCCGGACCAATCTGGATCTTCTTCCTAATTCCCCGCGCGTGTAGCGCAGCTCGACATGGCATCGCTGCCTGCTGCGTGAGGGCCTCGAGGTCCTGAAGGCAACTCAACACCTGGCGAAGAAACCCGTGGGGGCGGTCAGGTGCAGGTCGACGCTCCTGGACAAAGGGTCGTCCAGGGGTTTTGTGTGCCCCCCAAAAAGAGGAAAACATAGGAACATAACAGATACATCCGGGAGATAGGAACAAGACCATGAGGGGTTGAACAACTTTTGCTGATCTCACAAGTGAGATAGGAACAACTTGGAATCAAACCATTGCAGTCAGTTGTGGTGACCATGGTCGTGACCATGGTGATGACCATCATCATGATGACCGAGATCCTGATGGTTCTGAGGCGACACCAAAAGCATCAGCGTGGGTCATCTTTCAGACTGCTTTTCGATCTTCGGACTGCTCCATCTCGAGCATCTGAACACGTCTGAACTCACCCCGTCTTGAGCATCGCTGGCCTGACTGGGAGAGTCCAGGGTCCTCAGAGCACGGGGAGACTTCGTGGCGAGAGGTGGTGAGAGGCGAGATGATGTGGTGACCCTCCGAATCACTCTTTTGGAAGTGGATGGGACCCCCCTCTTTGTAGACACACGGAACTTCCCATCTACTTTCCCACTTCCATTGGCCACTTGAGTTGGTGAGTGTCGCGTTTGGCTTTTTTTCTTGCAGGTCTCTGGCTTGGAGGGTTGGAAAGGTATATATATATATATCAATATTGTCTCAATCATCAATTTTTTGTTCACACTTCGCGGGGCTGGAAGTCTTCATCGAACAACCCACGGGCTCCATCCAAGAAGTGAGGTATACCTAAAAACCCAGTCCCAACCAGAAATTAATGGATGTTTCCACGAGCAACCACCTGCTATGTAGAGGATCTCAAGTAAGCCATATTATTGGAACACTACATCATACTACATCCAATTATTTCTGAGGTTCCAGGATGTTCCAGGTATATATATATAATTTGCATGGAACGTCCCCTCCATCCGTTAGGATTTGGCCTTGGGTCAAAACCCGGGCGTTGACATTTAAATCCCTGAACATGAACTGTTTCCTCTATGCTCGGGATGTCAACCTAACATGGATTGGTGGGGGGTTCGTTGGGTTCCTCACTGCCTAATTTAAGTGTGAAGTTCGGTGGCGTTTCCATCCAGCGCTGTGCGTAGACCGACCGAGGTGTTCCTGCATCGAATGTAGGGGTTGTGTCTTTGGAGTTGGCCTTCCCTACAGAACAAAAGATATGGATGTGGGCACTGGGCACTACAACGAAACACTAGTGTGAGATGGTTGGTATCCCACATTATTCCACATTCTTATCATTTTTTATGCTTATTATCTGTTGTGTGTGTTTTTTTAAAGTAACTTTTTACCTATGACAGTGGGGCCTCTCAATGTCTCGGATTCAGCATTCTCTCCACTTTCGCCTCTCAAGACGGACAGCAGGCGCATGATCCTATGACCGCAGCTGCCCATGTGTTTGGTACCAAGGGACAACGTCGGAGAGTCCAAATGAATTAACCATTTGGGATCACCGCTGGGTGTACTTGACTGGAGTCCAGGACTCTCCTGGTATCGGTTTGAAGTGGATTGTTCTTTGACCATCGGTTTTCTCTGGGCGTCGAATCAGGGCGTGTTCCCTACACTGCTACACGCGCCGCACACCATACACAAAACACCACCCCCCAGTCCCAGGTGACATGCCATGCCGTGTCTGGATCAGATTGAGACGTTGGACTTGACACATCGCTGCCGTCCCGACCGGTGCAGAATCCTCCGTATTTTTCGGCACCCAGAGCGGAAACACATTCCCATCATTCCTGGCACTCACAAAAGAATTGCCGCCCTTGCGATGAACACAAATGAAAACCACACTTAAGGTCCCCACTTCCTGCTCATCACCTCCTTCAATTTCGGCTCCACCCGCCTGAACTGAGCCTGCAAAGCAGACACCAGGCGCGGGTGCGGTGGACCGTCTCTTACTCCCAAACACCGGTTTCGGTCATCAGCGAACGACACCCAACCCGTGGGGATCCCAGAAACTGCGGGAATCAGGAAACAGTCCCGGAACGACACCCCACAAAACGAAGCATTTCACTTCTCACGGACTGTCAATCTCAAATCCGAAGAACTCAACTCCCTGTAGCAAATAAGCCAGTATGTGAGATATTGTGAGATTGTTGTGAAAAGCTCCTTGTGGGAACGCTAATCCCATTTCAGGCAAAATATGGTCAAACAATGTCAAACAACTGATTGTCGGATCATTCAATGACCGCTGAAACAGCCCCTTGAAAGCCTAAAGCCACCTACAAATATCCCTGACTCCTCAACTGCCCAGCACCTCCAAAGCCTTGGCTGCCTCAACTGAAGCCTCGCAAAGGCCTGGAGAAATGGTGTGAAACCAACGGAGGTTCAGTGCTGCGAAAGGGGAAGATCCTCTTGTTCGGACCAGACTCATCCAATGCACATCAATGCAGATCATTCAAGGAATCGCTCCGACAACTGTGACTTCTGCTGCAAGCTGATCAGAACAACTCGCTGCAACTCGCACATCTCCCGACTCGCCGGACCGAGTCTGAGATCCCCAGGCTATTTGGGGTGTTCTCTCCGAGAGGGGGGGGAGGGACTCATAGAAAGAGGTTGCGCAAGCACTGCAGGTGGCATCTTTTGATTGGAGCAACATGTTGATGACTGTTAACTAGGCCCTAGGCTAGCTCTTCAACATGACATGAGCCTGGGTACAAGCATGGGAACGACGCTCTTCATGCTCCATTCACACAGTTGCAGCAGCAAGTGTTGATGGGTGAGCTTTTGCTTGGAAACACCACTTCTAGATATAACTTTGACAAAGTGATATAGTCTCACCTGTCTTCAATTTGTCAATGGCTCAAGCACAACAAAAGGTCTGTCTTTCACTGAGTCTGCAGATTTCGAACAAAAACAAGAACAAATGGATACACATGGGGTCATAAGAATAGGTACGTCATCTCAAAAAAGGACCCCTCCGGTGGGCACGTGTGCCGCAGAAAAAGCCCGTGGCGCCATGCATGTACATGCTCAAAAATTCTCAAAAAGTCATCAACAACACCCGTGTAAAAACATGTAAAACCCATAGTAGGAAACTCTATGCCTTCCCAATGGAAGTCAGCATGGTTCAATGTGCCTATGGTTTCAGGTGTGCTTCTCTTCCATGGGGAAAGTCTTGGTCAGAGATTCCGCACAGCAATTCTGCACCCCTTGGATCTGACCCTCATCTGACTACCTCAGTTTTCTCTGGATAATAGAGGTCAACCGAGCTCTCCACCTGTGGGTTTTTAGTGGAGAAGCCAATCCCCCCAAAAGGTTTTAGAATGTTTTAGATGATCCGCTGATGGGTAGGAGATTGCAGCCGGGCCTCACAGGCAGTACCACACTTTTTTCGGGCCTCCATCTAGGGCAGAGGCCAAGGCTGCGGCTGTGCGGAAGGAAGCGGAGGCGACCTGTGCTCAGCCCCAACGTCTCACTCGACTTGTTCAGAACTTCCAACGTGGAGCCATTTGGATGGATGTAATATCATCGTCACCGACTGGGTCAGAGGTCAGGACCCACCACTACCAAGTAAGAAGGCCGCTCATGGATCATTTTAGGACTCCGAGAGTTGTGGCATTGAACAACTCGTTGAACCGTTGGCAATTTCCAAAGTGGCCATCGGAGGTGGTTGCTGAGGGGATGAATATGTCCAACTCAGCGAAACATCCCCCATCCCAGCAAGAAAAGAAGGAGAAGCTGCTGTTATCCGTCACCCATTCAACTGAACATGCTTCATCTTCCCACACACGCACATCCATCAACCGTATGCGGCAAGATTCCGTTGGGCTCCGGCACCTTTTGATCATTTTTCCTCCATCTTTATCCGTTCCTTTTTTCGTTGTTCCCGGTTTCCCCCCGCCGCGCCGTGCGGGCGCGGAAGGAATGGTTCGCCGGACGGGCGACACGGTGCCTCGCAGAGCTCCAGGCGACATGGTGGGCGGTGGGACTCTTGAGCGCTTCGCCGTCCCAAGACCTGACACGGTGCCCGGTCGAACAAGAGAAGTCCACCGAGCGGGGCGAAACGGGGCGAAACGGTGGACGCGAAACAGGGCGAACATGCGTAACCGCGTCTTGCAACATGGCCCTGTTCATGCATGTTCCTATGTGTTTTATCGACACATCATGGCAACATAATAGGGCAACGTGGTCTTAAAATGTCTTCAGTGAATGCCGGCTCACACCCCTGTGAGTTCCTATCTTCATAAGACACCACATCATCACCCAGTTATCGGCGCCACATGATTCTCATCGCAAGTCCTGGCACTTCTTGATTCTCTTGGATATGCTCCTTCGGAAGCCGGGAAAAATATTCCCCAGAAAAGGATTCACCCATAGGGAATAGCACTCACCCTAGCCAAGACCAAGCTGTTTACCGAAAGCTGTGCGGTGAGAGATCCAGGTCATTTTCTGTACCGATTTCGGTGGAAGCGTGCCCAACCCACCCGGTCCTCTGGTTCCCCAAAGCCGTCTTGGTTCAGTTTGGTCTTCCCCTACTCCGAGGTTTTCCCGGGTTGGTTCATAGATTGTTCAACCAGGGAAGGGCTGACTTCGGCAATTCTACGACCTGTGATCCGAGTCAACTGGCTCCCAGCGGCTCCACGCCTCCAAGCGAAAAAGGAGCCCCTCGGCCGCCTGGGCGCAGGTTCCACGTGCCAAGGCCTCGCCACCAAAAGGCACAAACTCCGTGCTGCCAGGAAAGCGCAATGCTGTGTAACATGTGTAGCCGCAGGTGACTTATGAGGCTGTGTGTCCTCAAATGAAGAGTTTCCTTGGACCGGTGGATGTTTGTCTAACCAAAAACACATGGAAAACATGGATTGTTTGTTTACTTTCTCTAGAGTCTATAGAGCCAAATGTGAGCTGAACAACCAACAGCCTGGACATTTGGTCCACAGCACCGAGAGATCCCATGTCTTTCCCCAACGAAGCGGGCGTGGCATCCACTGCGTACAGAACCCGAAAGCAGCGGGTTGGTCATGGTCTTTTCTATTTACAGTAAGTAATGGTGACACGGAACAGCAGTGGCGACTGTCTGCACTCATCGTCGTCTCTGGCATTCTCTGTCTAGCTCTCTTGGTCTTCAGCTCTTCAAAGTTTTCTTTGAGCAGCCGATACTGCCATGACACGCAGCTGCTGGCTATGCTGAGGTGCAAGGCCATTGGCTTGGTCTCCACATGTCATGATAGGTGAATGGCAGACTTGTGCAGGTGGTACCGGACAGAAGAGGTGAGCCTGAGCTTGTGAAAGATGTCAGCCGTCCTCGTCCTTTCTCAGAAAACGCATTTTTCGATTTGAGGGACTCTGCCTTTCCTGGCCCCGGTGGAATCAACACCAAGATCCCCAATGCACCATAATGACCACGGTCGTCGTCCGTGAGGATGGCCTTGAGTGGAGTGGCAACCTCCGTGGAACTAGTCAGGAAACCAGTCTTCTCAGTGTGGAGGCACAATCTTGTGTCTGCCAGACTCCTTTATTCTAGAAGTTTATCATCTTGAAAAAAAACAACCAAAAATTCAAAAATTGCAGCCAGAAAAACAACAACAGTCATAAAAGCAAAAAACAAACAACATTGCAAGCAAAATGGAACAACTCAGCCGGGCTTTCTGGCGCACTTTTTGGAATGGTCCACTTTTTTCTGCATCTTGAGGCTGAGGTACCATGCAGGATCACAGCCAGCAGCAAAACGGGAGAGCACGGAGCATCAACTAATCCAGGTGATATTTGTGAATGGAAGCAAACTCACAATCAGGGGGTTCCCCAGAGTTACGAGCGATCGCGAAACGGACAAGGAAGAACCAGATAGGGACAGGATTGACGAAAGTGACAGAGCCACAGAATCCGCTAAACCTTCCTAGGCCGAACTCCTGCAAAGAAGAGATGTGCTTAGCACTGAGAGCGTTAATGCCTTGCAACTTCCAAATCCATCCTAGGGCAGATCTAAACATGCATACGGAAGCATGCAGTGACTTACACTGCACGAAGTGGGTATGTACAGTCGGAGAGTGACTACAGAAAGCGAGGAAAAGCAACAGCCATGGGACGCGGGGTCCTTCCGGTTCTGAGGATATCAGCCATTCTGTCTGAGTCACAAACATCAATAAGTCTCGAGCTAAACCCACAGTCAAACGACGTTGACACTTGGCAAGCCTGTCAGGGGTGATGTCAACATGGAGTTTCCGATTTCGAGGGTCAGCGGCAAAAGCCAGAGTGAAAATCGGGTAATGATGCTTGATATCCTCAATATGCTGTTGAGTCAGTGTCTGGTTCAAACAGGCCTGTACAAATTGATGTTCGGGCTTTGCAACAATTACCGATTGAGGCTGACACGTGCAAACGTTTTGTTTCCCGCGCAAACGGGTTCGGGGGGCACAGGTGCACGCGTATGTTTTGGAAAGATGGGGAAACACTACGTTTTCTTCGTACGCATTCGGACTTTCGTTTGGCAATACTGTCGAAAATCGACGGCGCAAAGTCGAGATGATGTGAACATGAGTGGCGACAGCTGCTGACACGGCATCGTCTCGCTCAAGCTGGCGAGATTCCCAACACTCTTTGGCACAACATTTTGCCAGCCTGTCGGCCTCAGAGTTTCCACGAGTCCAGTGATCCGGCTGTTGTAAATCACCAACACGGCAGTGGGCCTTAACTTTGATTATTTGAAATGGTCCACGTTCTGGAATGGTCCACGTTCTGGCGCGCTTTTGAGGGAGGGTCCACTTTCTGGCGCACTTTTGGGGGAGGGTCCACTTTCTGGCGCACTTTTGGTCGTAATCTTTTTTCGGTTTTTCCGCAAAAAAACAACACAAATAAAGCGGGAAAAAACAAACGAAAAACACCGACCCACAAGTGCGACTTTTTACCCGGCCCCGGAAAAAAACACACGACCAAAAGTGCGAGCGACTTCTGACCCGGCGCCGGAAAAAAAGAAACGCCCCCGGCACCAGAATAAACGCGACCAAAAGTGCGACACTTGACCCGGCACCAGAAAAAACCCTTGTCCAGTACTAACCCTACCCGGCCCCTCCAAACTACTTTGTGTTTTGCTTGTTATTTTTTTGCTTTCTTGGTTGCCCTTTGTTTTGCTTGTGTTTTTTTGGTTGCATTATTATTTTTTTGCTTTCTTGGTTGCTCTTTGTTTTGCTGGTGTTTTTTTGGTTTGTTTTGTTTGCTTGTTTTTTTTGTTCAAGTTTGTTGATTTCTAGAATCAAACCACCTCTGGTGGAGACAAACGTAGTCCTGCTTGTTGAAGATAATGACGCAGAGAACGAAGATGATGATGCAGAGCTTCATTGGCCACAAAAAACCGGATCACATCCTCGAACATCATAAGAACATCGTCAACCCAAGGTTGGAGCAGCAAATGGGCGGTCCTCCATCATGCTCTTCAAGGGGTGATACAAGACCAACTTGGAGATGGCCAGGGCTCGTGGATCAAGCGGAGCAAGTTTAGCGGCTTCCTGTGTGCTTGATCCCACAACCTGTCAAGTCCGTGAATGGGTGTGGGTCCACTGGATGGTCTCCATAGCTGAGCCCATTGTTGGTGCCGTGCAAACATGCGTTCTCCAGGATCCAGACGGTGTAAAGATATCTTCCACGGAATGTCTTGTTGGCGCAAACCCTTACTCTCCACGACCAAATTGTTCGATAGATCTATTGATTTCAAAGGAAAAACAATAGCGATGGAAACAGCTAGTTTCACAATGTTTTTTCAATAGAAATGCTGAACTTGATAGAACAATTTCTATTGGTTTTTAATCGCCACACATAGTGATTTTCTATTGATTTTTAAGAACGATTTCTATTGATTTTCAATGGTGATTTCAAAGGTGGTTCTATTGGCTTCAAAATTGGTTTGCTTTGCTTGTCTCATGGCTGGATAGCCATTAATGTAATTAGTATGGCTGGATAGCCAAGGCTGTGTTTGCTTTGTTTGTCTCATGGCTGGATAGTCATGCAAACTGCAGAACAAGGAGCCTCAAGCAAGCTGTAGGTAGCACTGCGCCAAAGCAATATGGCACCAAAAGCCGACAATGTGCCTGCAGATGTGGCAGCTGGTGTGGACCGGGCACCTGGAGGGCAAGGACTTTAGGGTTTTTTGAATATGGATGGATAGCCATTAGACCAGATGGCTGGATAGCCATTTGTTTTTTGGTTCAAACGGCTGGATAGCCAATAGCTAGTGTTATGGCTGGATAGCCATTAGACCAGATGGCTGGATGGCCATTTGTTTTTTGGTTCAAATGGCTGGATAGCCAATAGCTTGTGT